ACTGAGTCAACAATCTAAGTCAACAATCGGCTGGTTTTAGCAGTTATATTACATGGACAGAAACCGATGTCCTTCAGATCTATTCTATTTATAAAAAAATCTAAATGCCTTTAGGGTTTTTGATTTACCAGAGAATTTACAGAACATTTTGTTAAGAGAAGAAGGTATTAATCTTCTGTTTCCTCCTCAGACAAGATTTAGCAATATTTTACAGTCTGTGTACAGAAAAGGAGGTAAATGCCACCAATGAAATACAATAGTATTCAAGATTACAAGTCCTCTCCTCAAAAGTTCTGAAAAGACCTCATAAATTTTCATCTTACTGATCTCAGAATTTCCTACTGTGGTGATTTTCCTTTTGCTGTTTCAGACCTCCACTTCTAATTTCTACAAAAGATGGACATCATTTCTTTTCAGAAATGTCATCCTAGACCTCTAAACACTCAATAACACCAAAACCACTGGATTTGTTAACTGTTAGCAAGAGGCAGTGACTGGAAGCTTAAGCAACACATGCATGCGATGTGGCACTTACTGCTGTGCACTGCCAGGTGTTTCTGTCCAGGGTATGCAAGACAGAAATACAGAAGTGATGTATCAAGCATCAAAACATTAAGCAGTGCAGGATTAAAAACCAAGTTTCCGCGCTGCTATGTAGTAAACCCAACCACAGGGTAAGACAGCCATTTCTCTCTCTCTCCTGCTGCCCTCTGTGGCTTTATTATTCTGCACAACACACAGTAGCTTCATCAGAAGAAGGTGAAGGCAAGTTGTCCCAGGCTGGCCCTTGGTGGGACAGTGAGGGCAGGCTGCAGGGACAGAGAGGGTGAGACTTGAGTCCTATCAGGTAGGCTACTGTGGAGCTGAACTTTTTTTTTTTTTTTTTGGTTCCTCCTGAGGCTGTTTCTGTGGAGAGACAGATCTGCTGAAGATGCTCTGGCACCATCTGGCTGGCCAGATGGACTGGGGATGCCTAGACTGACAGCAAGGTGAGTGCTTCTGTAATAATAATGTCAGTCAGCATGTCAGTAGCAGTGTGTATGTCTGAGATGGTACTGTGACCTGGAAATAACTACATTGTGCTCGTTGCACACAGACGAGATACTTACTTACGACTGTTTCTTACCTATAAGATGTAATTTTTTTTCGGAGAAATAGAATGAGCACATGATAAGAGCAGTAACTTTTCTTGGCCCTCATAGTAAAATTCTTATTTATAAAATTAATGTCAAAATAACCAAACCATATTCTCAAAAAAAAAAATTAGAAGAGTTAGTAGAAACAAACAAATTTAAACTGAAGTAGTAAGGTTATGAAAGATTTCAAATTTCAAGGCACCCCACAGCCCATCCTTGGTTTTTGACATGACTGCAGTGCATCTATGGGGATGAGACAGGTTGTAATCTTTCCACTATATTTAGGTTTCTTGAAGCTTGCATCTTTTGTATCCACCACATGATTAACAGATACAAGAAAAACTTTTTGTTGGTTGATTATGAAGGTTTAGAAAAAACTGTGATGTTTACCCTGCAGAGAATTAATGTTCATCTACTCCCCACACATAAGAACACTTCCATGCAGTGTTATTTAGAGGCTTCAGTGCAATTTTAATTCAGCAGAACATACAAATAAAAAACATATGGGAAGGACAAATATATATCCTGAGGTAGATTTTCACTAGAAATATGGTCACTGGCTTACATTCGCTGACCTGAATTTTTATATATGAACTAGTTTACTTACGGATAATGTAAGAGGCTAAAAAATGAATGTGCTGAAGACTGACTGTCCTCCCTCTGCCCGGATGAGAACTAAGACACAGTACTAGAGTAGGGAAGGGATAAACAAGAATTGAAAGCAGAGTCCAAAAGCCACCCTTGGGCAACCATATCCATAACACAGCATTCAGCAGGGGCAGCATTTGGATACAGACCTACCATGCAACCTCATTTCTGAGAGGGGAGATCTGTCAGACTTCCAAAAAGAAAAATAACATTTGGCATGGGGAAGAACAGTGGTGTTTCTTCCATACGAGGAGGAGAACAAGAACACACATATCTGTCCTGCCACAGGATGGTCATTTTATCTGGAGATGCATCTTTCATTACAGAGAGTTTTCACAGACTTTGCTGTTTTGAAAGAGAAGTAGTAACTGTCTGTCTTCTCCATATTCCCTCAAACCAGGACAGCCAACAATGGTGAGTCTTAATTTTGAAAAATATTACCCAAGGGCACAGAAGGAGGCCCAAGTCAGAGGAAAGGAAAATAGTTGGGTGGATTAAGTGAGGTGAGCTCATGAAATTTGTTCATAAACAGAAATGACAGGCTAGCTTGGGAAAGTAAAGTTTTCCTAAGCATACCTGACAGCAGAAGCTGACTTGATTAAAAAGGAGCAAATGTGCAGTGAAACGGATGACGACGGCCAAGTAAGGCTGTCCTCTGGACTCGGGAAAACAAATCAAGTCAGGGAAACACACGGGCCATGCTAAGGAAAGAGCCACATTCATGTGTGCAACAGGTCAAATTGTCATCACATTTTATAAATACCAAAGCAAAGCAATCAAAACCCCACTGGTGTTCAACATTGAACACTTCTAGAATGACATTTATGCTGTCCACACACACAGATAAATGTTTGCATCTTTTATGCACAGAAACTTCCTGTTATTTCTGCACAATATTCCTTCTAATACCAGCCACTCTACTTCTGTAAGTTACTTTTTCATCACTGGATTCTGTTTTGTCAAGCTTAATAATCAAGAAGATAGCTATCAGGGTTTAAACATGTTTTTGAGATGCCCACCCACCCCCTGATACAGAACAAAATCTTAACGGCAACAGGAGTCCTCCATTATTTTCTCTCAGCAAGCCATGAACAGCTCAACAGCTTAACAAGTCACAACCAATTCTAACTATTAATTTAGAGTACAAATTTACTTTTCCAGGTTACCATGGAATTTTATTTAGCATTAATGTAGTATCAATTTCTATTTGAAATTATAAATGTTAACTTTTAGAGCCTACAGAGGATTATCAAAGCAGAAATATTTGGCAAATCAGAGAATTTAGAAAAGCCAATGCATTATTAATGTCCTGAATGAAATCTTTGTATCCCAGTACCTTAAAACTTTGCTTGATATCCATATTTTAGAACTGAATACTGTTTAAACCCATAAGATACAAATAAGTTTGCTTAACACACCATGACCAACTAACCATATGCATACCCCAAAACATTACGGATCTCTTCTCTCTTTGTAAAAGCACAGCAAGATTAAGCACACCTCCATCCGAGTCTTTTTACCTCTTAGGAAAAAAGCCAAATAATCATAATGAGACTTGAAATAACTCAAAGCCAGCCAAAGAGGGACTCCCAGGCAGTGGCGTCGTGGAAGAAAGCTGACAGGCTGCCAGCAGAAGACTCCCGTGCAAATCAGGAGGTAGGGACACTGTGTGCCATGCTGTTCCAACTCCTGTGTTTTGGTTTTTACAACTCCAAAAAGGAGTTTGAGCATAGATGGGGCTCTGGAAGAGCCTGGACTGGGGATAATGAAAGGTTATTTAATGTTACCTCTTTCAACCTGCTGGATTGCAAAAGTTATGCAACAGATCTTGGTTTGAGATTTCACATCAAATGGCTTACCCTGTCTTAGGAAGTCTGCAACAAAGCTCCATCTGAACCTGGAAATCCAGGTTTTACTTTTCCTTTCTTAATTATAGATCCAATCTTCCTTGAAACATGGAAAAATACGAATCTGTTTCATTCTGAGTGCGGGTGTGAATTTTACAATTTGTAGGCCTGTCTTTGTTTATAGGATGACTCCAAAGAAGGTTTCCATTAATAAAAAAAAAAAAAAAAGGTTTCTCCTCAACAGACCTTCGATTGCAGTCGTAGGTTAGAGAAATAGGATTTTGTTGAGGAACTAATTAGCTTCATTTTGATAAATCATTTCCTGCCAAATGGCTATAGACACACCTTTTAAACAAGTAAATATTTTTTTTAGATCAAGCTACAGTTCCTAAGTTAAACAGTATTCTGTGGGAAGACTTCCTCTCTGGGTAAACTGAACCTTTGTATTGAAAGGGAGGGGATGTGAGCTGTAAAAGTTATTTCATCTATGTTGTACAATAACTCAACTTCCTCTTCAAAAAATATTAAATTATAAAAAAAAAAAACCCAACCCAAAACCGAAGAAAAGAGGATTATTTCTCTCTCTTTTCTTCTTTATCACGCTCTTTCTTACACCTTGCCGTAGGCTATCCTGTCATTTTCAGATTTTTGATTCCCTTGTGAAGCAGACGCACTAAGTTTAATCTTTCTCACAGATGTTACTGAAATCATCACGGAGCCAGGCTTGTGCCTATCTATCCATGGGATGTATTTGTATTCTCTTTACACAGGTGTGCTTCAGAATTAACAATAATAACATTTTCCAAGTTCTCCAGCAAAAAGCTGCTACCAAGTTCAGGGGTGACTGTGCTATAAAGTTACACCACTGATCCTACCACAGGCAATAAACCAATGAAGAATTTAGTGGTAAGACAGCAAAGTTATGACTGATTTAGTACGAGAATTTATGTGTTAAAATATATTGGTATACCCAGGTGCTGTGTGGAGGCTCTACGTGTCGTGTTGAGTAAGAATCTACGTTGCTTTAAAATAAGTGTTAAAGTGCCAGCAACGAGGTTGACTTCAGGGGAGCTGAAGACAAGAACAGCCTACACCTTAGCTTTCCAACATGAGTGGGAACTATGACATGAAGTAAAAAATCCGAACTCGTAGGAACTATTGTGAATAGATAGAAAAAAAATCACTTAAAATTGGTCAAATGCTGATCAAATGCATAGAATTATGGGTGTAACAAAAGAGAACACTGTCCTTTTAGAAGGTTAGTCAGTATTTCTTTTCACTCTTTTGGGTCTGTCTGGTTATTTACATACAGCATATACACAGAAATAGCTGCACCTACTTTGTCTAATTAAGTGTAATCCAGTCTTACCTGGCAAGTCCATATCGATGTGATAATGAATCCATCATCTCTGAAGACATTGAAGATTTCAATGATTCCCCGTGAATAACCAAACACAGAGATACTAGCATCCGATACTGCCAAGTTAAATGTGAGGTAGTCGGTGGGCTGCAGAAGATGTCTTTGTTTATACAGGACAAAAATGACAATGCTGTTTCCAAACCAAGACAGCCAACCTGGAAAAAATAAATTAAATTCATGAAATCAAAAAGCACATAAAGCAAGAAGCCGTTCAGTGTGTAAAGGTACAATATCTCTTAAAAAATTTTGCTTTTGTTCCATTATAAACAAATGATACCAGATTATCCATTAGTAAATCTATGCACAAAGCCTTTTTAAGTAGCTGGGTACTCTTCAGAAACAGGAACAAATGAAGAATTGGCAGTAAACAACGCAAACACAAAGAGCTGCTGCTGCATCTGTCAAAGATTCACCATTTAAGGGCCTAGAGAATTTTTTTTCCGAAGTGGACAGAGGAAAATCATGAAACGTACCACCTGGGGGAACAAAAGGAAGGAGGACATTGGTAGCGTGGAGCAGAGACTACCATCTGCCAAAAGCTGCAGCTGTTTAGGCACATTGTGTACAATAATGAACTAAGGTTTTACTCTTCCTTTCTTAATCATAGATCCAATCTAAACCCATAGCCAGAGAGCTGCTCACCAGTCCTCTCTTGAGAAGTGCAGCTAATATGATTAAGTTTCTTCTCTTAGAATAGTCTAGGATCTCCTTGCAGCAAAGTCTGTCCCAGATGGGAGTATTTTTCAGTAATACACCTGACAACCTATATGAAGAGAACAGATATTTCAGAAGCTTTAAAGTCTTTTTAAATTAATATTAAAAAAAAAAAGAAAAAAGATTGTGCCCTGTCTTACTTTCCAGAAACGTAAGAGCTTGACTTGTACATGTCTACTTACATGAGGAAAATGCAAGGGAGATGATCAGTGAATTTCAGTCACTCAGCTGGAGAGACCTAGAGCTTCCAAACATGCAAGGCTACTGTGCAAGACCCTGGCAGTCAGTACAAGACCTTGGTAGTTTGTGTCCCACTTTTTGGAATGATGTACACATGTAGAAATGAACAAAACGTTTACTCATAACTGTCAGGCTCAGTGTTCAAAATGAAGATTAGCCATTGAAAAGGATGGCTCCAGGGCAGCCGCTGGAGCCATGCGGCTGAGCAGCAGGTCAGGCAGCACCCAGCTCCCAGTTGGCTCCTGTTTTCACCCACCAAACCAGCTCTGCCACTGCTGACATAGGTGGCCTCACTTTGCCTTGGCAATGTGGAGAAAAACGCCACCTATTTGTGTGCCTACACCCTAGGACAGGTTTAGGAACCCAGAAGCTGGTGGTTTTGTTCCCCACAAGCGATGCCAGGGTACAACGTTAACTACCAGGTAAGGAAGAAAAGAGTTGGTCCATAGCCCTCTATCCAGGCATAAGCAATGCCTGGATATCCCAGAGTAAGGATGCTGTATATTGACACAGCAAGAGGTGACTGTATGCACTGAAGAGGGACGTGAAATGATGATGTTGCACAGCATCTCTGGGTATTCAAAGGAGAGCTAATGAGATGAAAGATAGCTGATGGGTTTAATGTCATAGCAAGAGGGCAGCTGCCTTCCTTCAGAAAGCATCAACAACCCCATATGCCAGGAACTCAGCACTTTGCTGCCGGGATGCTTCGGCTGGGAAGGGAGGGGACAAAATTGCCTCTAAATCCCCAGGCCATCTGGGAGTATCAAGAACTGAAATGCCAAAGAGCCAGGCGCTTGTTCTCCAGATAGGGAGGTTGGGTACTTACTTTCTGGTGAGGTGTTGCATAGTCTGGAGTGGGAGGGGAGGTGGGTGATGGGACAGTCTCTGTGCAGCACTATCAACTGCTTCTTATCTCCTTTCAGTAACTTCTGTTTCCAAAATTGCCAGGCTGCTGCTGCTCTGGCTTGCTTAGCAAATGCACGTGGTTTACTAAAGAATTTTTGATCTGGGAAGAGCTGACATGTCGGTATATGGTATTAACCAGAAATAGTCACTGGTGCGAGGATACACTGAGATACATATGTATATTTTCTATATATCTTGTTTTAAGGATAGGATCAATAACATTAAATACATTGTTCTGGCCACTAGATGACAATGTTTCTTAATCGCATCTCAGTTCCAATGGCTGCATGGACTTAAAGTCAGAAATTGTTTCTGTCTTTTGTCTGAGCCTGGGTGTTTTCAGTAGGCACAGCAGGGCACTGGAGGAGGATGGCTTTGTGAATGCATCAGGATAGTCTGCAATGCAAATGTGGTAGCTGTGTTGTTTTTCACCTCTACCTTCTGTAAAGTAAGATAGTTTTCAAGGCAGTAGGCACAGAAATATTTTCCATGTCAATATGAAGACATAGTGCTAAAATCATAGACAAAATAAAATGGGACCTCTTTTGTAGATAGTGAAATTTTGTCAACTCAGTCTACTAGATGGGAGGGCTACCCTTTAAGCTCACTTCCTGGGATTATATAGAGCAAAACCCTCCAAGCCTGAAGGTTAAGGGATTCTTCAGCTAAAATAAGGAAGATATTGAACAAACTGTCATGTAGAATAACAATAGAGGTGACAGAAACACTATGTGATCATTTTATTTGGAAATAGATTCACACTCTGAGGGTGAGAATGGGGGAAGCGTTAAGGGAGATAAAGCTACAGAGTGAATATGACTTCTGCAGGCAGGCACAGTCCTTTTAACCAAAGCAAGTGCACTGGCATATCCAGTCCCTAAAATGCCTGATCTATCTGGGTAGTAGGCCATATTGATACCATGATAAAAAATGGAGGAACTCGATTCTCAGCAAACTACAGAGGAACAAAAGCTGTGGTCAGACAAAAGTGTTATGAACTAGAGCAGTGACTATGGGACACTCTGCACCATCAGACAGAAGGTTCTGGTCTGGGGTTGCTAATCCAAAGCAACTCCAAAACAAAAAAACCCAACCAATCTCAACCAAAAGAATACCTCAAACCAAACAATATCCCTTCCCTGCTCCCCCAAACCCTGAAAGCACAGCAGGGAAAAAGGTTGAAAATGCAATGCTTAGGAAGCACAGCCATAGCTCTGAAGCTCTGGGTGAGGGCAGGGATCTCCTCAGCTGCTTTGCAGGTGGTGTGTGTCTCAGGGTACGTCATGGGTAGATCAAGAGCCCAGAAAGAAACCTCTGAACTTTGAAATGCTGAAAAAGCCTCAATGTCAAAGGGTGGCATCTCAATAAAACAGAGGATAGAAAAGAAACAGCTGAGGGAACTAGTTGCATTTTTTTCAAACTGCCAGCAATATCCACTCGAAAGAGTGTAGGGGATAAAAAACCCCCACTCCAAACCCAAAATCCAAACCTAGCACCCTAAGGTAATCCTGGTGAGAAAGCACATGTGGCTGAGAGAGGAAAAGAATAGCAGATGGGAGGAAACTGAGTACTTCCACCTGACAAAAGGTTCAGAGAGGAATCAGTGCATTTCCCCCATAAGCTGTAATGCTGTGTGATACGGGCTGCTCATCAATGAGAGATGCTGGCCCTTCTGAAGTGGCAAGATACATATTTCAATATACAGTTACCCAAGTTCATTAACACAGGGCAGGACTGAGATCAGTTGCTGTGAGACTGCCAGTATCGAAATAGAGTAGGTTAAATGAGTATTGATAAAAGCTAAATATTGAATAGCTAAGGAGTTACCTTTACTCCTCAGTCACTCACAGAAAAGCACTTGTACCACATTTATGAACATTGGGAGATAGGAGGATCAGGACAGAAGGCAATATTAAAAAAAAGTCGTAGTGCCCTTATATAATTCATTAGAAATTTTTTCCCTGGAATAATACCCCATCAATAGAGCATTTTAATCCACAGATGTCAAAAGTGCTCCATGCAGGAGGCTGGTGCTGCTATCCACTATTTCTGGGGGAGGCACAGGAATACCGCAAAGCAAGCTGATGGTAGTCGGGAAATGAAACCCCATCAACAAACTCCTCTATCAGCAGGTATCAGTTTATTGTCTTCCAGCTTGTGCAGAGAAAGCACTGAAAAAGCAGGCAGCAAGAGTGACTAAGGATATTGAAAATCTCTCTGCTGAAAGCAACTGAGAACAAAGAGATTTTTTAGCTCTAGGAATAGCTAAGAGAGAACACAATTTTACAAAAATTTCTGCCAAATTGTTCAAGCCTGAGCATCCAGGTACACCCTATTTCTCTCTCATATAGCCAAGGTGGTCTTTGAAAAGCAATGAACACCTGAGGTTGCATGCAATTTCATTGTTAACATTCAATTTATGTTTTTGCAGAGTTAAATTTAGTACAAGAAAACAAATAGCTCTGAGGTAGTCATCCACATTTCCAACAGATGATTGCATCTGTGCCCTGCTAAGATAGGTTATTACACTTTGCACATAGACTTGTTCTTATTAGACATTGTTGCATGGCCTTTACCTGCAAAATCTGACAAGAACAAATTAGAGAAATAGGTGTTAAAACTCACTCATCTGCAGTTTAATAATATACAGGGAGCCTTAAATGGAAGAATTCAAGAAATGAGAGCAAAAGATGAAGGCTTAGTGTCACAAGACAAGCTGCTCTTTTCCCTTCAGCAAATAACCTTATCTCTGGGACAGATGTTGGATTCAGCATCTAGATATAGAGCAGGCATGAGTGAAGTCTATTACTGACTCAGTTACCTATACAGAAGCATAAATGTCTAGCTGGAGAGGTTTTACTGTAAAAGATTTTCAGACAAAAAACTTTATTTAAAACAGTGACAAAATCTGGAGAACTTGCAAAGCTGTTATCAACGACTGCAACCGTGAAGTGACCCTTCTTTGTTTTGAGTTTTTGCTCCTAATAACACATACACAATATCCAGGGCACATTGCCAATTTTGGCATAAAGAAGAAGAGTTATCATGTTTTAGACTTGATGAAGTGTGGAGAAATCACTTGTTCAATAAACATGATCAGTTTGTGGATGAATATTTTGTGAACAGATTGTTTCCTTTCCCAGATTTATCTGTCAGACTATGTCCTAGAATAATGCTCATTCTGTCACTTTTCAAACAACAGTTTACTATCACTATTAGTAAGTGCGTGCCATTAAAAAGGCACGTTTGGGTTTTGCAGTCTGTTCCAGTTTTCTCACGGGATTGGTAATGCTCTCAGCATGCCTTTCTGATATAAGCAGTCACAAAAAGCCAGAATTTATTCTCTAACAAATATTCTCTCCTACTGACTTAAAACTTCCTTTTATGTCAAGCATTCACTCTAGCAGTCCTAGTTAACTGTGAAACTAGGGAAAACGAGCACTGAATAAATTGCGTATAAATACAGAAAAGAACAATTTACTTAAGAATTCCAATTAATAATTACAATGAAAAAATACTTCATTTCTTTTCCCACCAGGTCTGAGTCTGACTTAGCTAGCAACTACAGACAGCAATTTTAAATTACACCTAATAATTTAAATCATACAAGAGTTTTCCACTCAGGGCATAGACAAAAAGGGATCAGATGTAATGCTAGCAAGGTGACAAGCTCCCACCTGCCTGTCAAAGACAGTTCTCAGCTCACAGAAGGGAAAGCTGGAAACAGAGTGCTGCCTTCGGAAAGGGGATGCTGACACAGCTGACCTGACAAAAGGTAGTGGTGGCTGTGGTCACCAGCAGATAATCCTTCTAAGCACACTATAATGGCTCACCACTATGGGAGCAAGGAGAACGATGGAGTGGTGAACTTGCAGAAGAGGTGTGCAAAGAGGCCTCATCTCAGCAAAATATGTTAGGTCGTGGTTTTTGGATATGCACATCCTCTGTCAAGATGTGTGGCTGTGGGAAGGCTTGGCCAAAGACAGTTAGGTTTTTCAGAAGTTATCCCACAAAGGTGAAGAGATTCAATAGAACCCCTTCTTCTGGGTAAGTGGTAGCACCAATAACATACAACCCTTTGGTGCTGGAAATATTCATCTGAATTTGCAAAAAGCTGCACTGGTGTACTTAGATTCGAAAGAGAAGAAAATATGTAGCAGTTAATGAAGTGTAAATGATTAAGGCATTTTCCAAGGCATCAAAAAAACCAGACAAACCCCCAAACTATGAAATATTTACATCATTTGGACTTCGTTTAAGGAAGTATATATAGACTCCTGCAAATGGAGATTGCCTTTCCAGATCCCTAACAAAACACAGGCATGGGAAGGTAAAGTAGGGAGTGGCCTTTGTCCTCTGCTGCCATAAGGGCAAGAGGGTGTCTGCATAACAGAGGGCTTTGTTCTGCCACATCATTGCTCCTCAAATAGGCTTGAGTAATTGGTGTGAGAAAAACCTAATAGCTGTAAATAATTATGGCTAGTGCTTGAAGTGTGGCAGTAGACCTTTGAGGAGAAAAACATGTAAGGAATTTTCTGATTTATGCATTACAAACTTTTTTCAAAAGTTCCTATTGCAAAAGATGTATCTACTTCCATCATGTTTTAACCAGATCCACACTACACTTAACGTGGAGTACTGCTATTACTGGTTATATATACTCTGCAGGAAATGCAACTTGAGTTTTGAATTTGGAGGTTTCAAGAAGAGTAGCTGTGACATGCCAAGCACTTGTAAGCTTGGCAGAAGGTTCTTGAGCAATCAAAACCCAACAGACATATAACCTAAAAGCTCAGGCACCTAGCTACTTTAAAAAGTATTTGCGTGTAGGGTCACTATTAGGAAGCAGCAGAGGAAAACCTCTCTATGTTTTGATTGGTAAAAGAGTTTGAACTACCAGCGTGATGAAGAGACAACACTAGAAGGGATCAGTAGAGCTGGGGAAGTATAAATATTAATGTGAATAGTGATGGCAAGACCTTTCTTAGATTCTGTATTCAGTTCTGGTTATAAGTTGCTTTTTTAAAAAGAAAAAAAAAAGAAAAGGGAAAGAAAGGGGAAAAGGGGAAAAGGGGAAAGCATTTGATCTTTCCTTCAGGAACATAGACTGGCTGCAAGACTTAACTTCAGGCAAAGAAAATATTTCAATTAAAGAGAGTGACAAAATGGCTATAAAGTTGGTGTGACCATTTTCTCTAAGGATTTAGGGAAAGGCTCCTACCCAACAGAGAAATGAAATCAGGAACAAGCAGTCATTTAGAAGAGTGACAGCAACACCAAAAAGGCCCTAGCCAGTTACATGAGGGAGCATGATAGCTTTGTAAATGAGATTATACGTTGTCATAGCAGAGGACTGGCCTTAGACGTTCTTTCTAGTCTTAAGTGCAACTGCTTAATTCATTAGCTGATGATGCGGCCATTTCCCAGCCATTCATGAAGGGATTCGCAGATGTGAACAGATTGGGGATAAATTGGAATAACTCTGGTTTAGCTCATGGCCACTTGGCTAATTAAGTCTCCTAAGACAGAAGAGACACATTTTTCTACTAGAATCTCTGTTTTTATTCTAAACACAACTTTTTCCTCCCTAGTTCCTATAGGTAAAAAAAAAAAATAGTCGCATGCAAACATATTAAAATACTCTGCTTTTTACATTGTAACTTCCATAGACCTTTCTCAAGCATACCCTAAGGGCTAATAGGCCGCTTTCAGTATGTGACAGTGTTAGAAAAAGAAAAAATCTGTTTAGATCAATTATTTAGAAACAGAAACATTTTTGTATGTGCTGTTTGAAGAATAGATAAATAAAAGTTATATTTTCTTGTGTTTTCCTGTGAGGTTTTACAGTTAGAAATTTTGATTACCTAGCAGACTTGCATTATTTGAAATTTCATAAACAGACAATATTTAAATAAACAAAATGAAATTACACTAGCATCAAAGTGAGTTCATATTGGGTTCTATTTTCAAATTCTTGTTACATGCTTACAATAGCTGTCTTGCAGCAGAATCAAAGTAAACACAAGATATTGTGACAGCTAGCATAGGATGATGTTCTAATACTTAGATCTTTCACAGATCTTGTTTGAAAAAGTTAATTTCTACGTGCACCAAACATCTAAAGCAAGAGGACTGCAAAAAACTGAAAAAAAAATTGAAAATTAAAGAACCATATTTTCAGTCTCTATAGGAGATAATTGTACAATGCCAACTGACTGTTGGCAGTCGAAACTCTGGAAATCACAGAACCAGCAAAATATTTTGTACTTCTGATGAGGTACTTTTCCATCTTCCCACATATTAAGTTCAGTGAACATTAGCTGAAAGTTTACAGACTTGACTATTTTTTTTTCCTCAAGATTTCTGCACTGATTATTAATCTCTTCTTAACAAAAGAAAGCTGCACTTCTTTGATCTTGTAATAGCCAAAAAAAAGTTGCACTCTCCAACATGCTATTCCATTAGAGACGAAACCCAAATTAATCACTTTGAACTTTATGGCAAACTCTAAGTAGGAGCTTCCTTTCACATCCAAGCCAAGTACATACCTAAAGCCAGTAGGTAGAAACCTATGATAGTCTCTCCTTGCTCTGTTACAGCTGCCTCTCTGCTCAGATAACTGATGTTGTTGTTCCTCCAGGGTGCCTGTGAAGAAAACTGGACAGACATTTTCAGTGGAGCTTCTGACCCAGAAATTGTCCTTTTCAAATAAAATCGTTCCAGCCTTTTCCCCGCTTTCTGCTCCCTGTATTTGCGGGAGCTCTTCAGTGAGACTAACGATCTAAAGACGGAAATCTGAAAGGACAGGAGCTTTGCAGCCTTCTGACCTGTTCTTCTTCACTAATCCTATCTACTAATACAGCCTGTGAATCTGTGGCCAGCCCAAGACAGCAGGTTTCCTCATATCCTTATTACTGCAGAATTCTTTAATGAAGAGCGTGTATCTGACAAAAATGCAACTTTCTTTAAAATAGGGTGATACCACACAACCTGCAGGCTCACAGGCCTACCCACAAACATAGTGCATACTGTTACATTGCTAAAACAGCAGTACTTTCATGATTCTGGCTTCACTTAAGACTGACAGAATTTTAGTTCAAATGAAATTGAGAAAAAATCTCACAGAGACTAAAAAAAGAAAAGGCATCATAAAAAACAATGGGGAGCTGACACCACAGGAGAATGTGATTTTAACATAGAGGAAGAGATCAGCTACAATGTTACTTTACTAGCAGGATATTTGCTAATTTAAAAAGAAAGGATGATAATTTCCAGTACAGGCTGAAAAACAAAAAGTCCTTTGAATCATATTTTTAGAGAGCTAAGCACCCTCCAATCTAGTATGGTCCAAGTATAGTTGGATTTTCACAAAGTGCTGAAGAAATGAGCTCTTATCTGGCTGTGAAGACATGTTACATGTGATTTAAATCAGTCTGTCTGGAGTGCAGATGATTCTATGATTTCAGATACGGTCTTTCTTGCCAATCAGGCTGTAGTCATAATTAAAAAAAAATTGTATTCAAATTAATTCATCTTGAGCAGCAAAGTTTTACTGGTGAGCAACACACTCTGACCACACTGAAATCCCGTGCTCCTCTGGGCTCCCTGACTGGCTTGTCCCATCCCACCCTGGGCAGCAAATCAGCCCTGGTGGTGGCAGCTGGCCAAAGGAGGCAAAGCATCTCAACTGAGGACCACAATTGTCTAGTTTTATCCCTCCTGAGGTGGATTAATTCCTCCTATCAAGCTTGTTTGTTATGATAGCCTCACCACAAGAGGAGGAATAATGGCAATTTGAGGAGAGTAAAAGGAGAGCAATACTTCGCACTGAGAAGAAGGGGAAAATAGCTGCACTGCGGTGAAAGACAGAAGCTTCTCACCTTCCTGCTGGTGGTGCGGACAGTGACCCACCCACTTGTGTCACTGAAGCCTCTTGCAAGGGTGTTAGGCTTGAATTGTCTCCAGCCATCTGGCTCTCGTGCCGGTCTCTGGAGTGCTGCTCTCCCTTTCTCCAAGCTGAAGTCTGCAGCATGGGTCTGGCAGCTCCCACAGATCCCATGTAAGCAGCTCAGTGCCCTGGCTTTCCCAACCATTAGCCACAACCCACCTCCTATAGACTTTTTTGTGGAGACCTCTTCCAAAGTCTGTCTATAGAAAGCTGGAGTTTAACATTGACAAGCCTCTTAAAACACTCTCCTTAGCAGACTGTGACACAGAGACCTGGGACTTACCACTCTGGGAATTAAAAGCAGTACTCTCAAGTCCAAAGTCCTTCATTGCTGGGCTCCTGTGACAGTCCCACATTGCCCCCCAGCATTCCCACCACCACCCCAGCTTCAGGCATTGCTTGGCCATGCACACACCCTTCACAAGGCTCTCCGTCATGCCCAGCACGTGCACATTTCTGTGCCCTAGTGCTGCTCTCTGAGGCTGCCATTTAAGCATCCTGTGGTCCCCAGGAAAGCCCTGGACGTGCATCAGCTTTCATAGGGACTATGTGCACAATCAGACTTTCCAACACTGAGCTACAGCAACCTTTTCTAGCCAGTTATCCACCTGTCTCTAAGAAGACTGCCTGTTCAGATGGAGAGTTGGGAGGCAGTTAGGAGGCAGTTGGGAGACAGTGCTCAGGGACACTCACAAATGCTCAAGAAGCTCCACAACAAAGCCCAGTAATATCATCTGCTCTTCAGGACATGGGACTTGGGTCAAAGAAGAGGTCCTCAGCTGCAAGCTCATCACAAAGTCTCTGTCTGTGGATGCTAATATTGGAGTCTGTTTCACAACCTACCAAGAGAAAGATGTGGAAAAGGATGACACTTTACATTGGGACAAAAAGTGTCTCCCTCTACTCTCTCATTGAAAATGAATCAGCCATCCAAAAGCCCGCTCATGGGACAAGCCCAAAGCCTCTGGGCAAGGTCCCTCAGCCTTGTAAGAGGGAAGAGAACACCTCCTGGATGAGTTTCCTCCTGCAGCGAGGCACGTATCATCACAGTGACACCATCACTGAGTGACCCCATGCAGGTCACTTCTTCTGTGTAACTGGGACCTGGTGTCCATGAACCGAGTGTTGGTCCACACCTCTCAGGAAGTCATGCTCACAGAAAGTATAGGGAAGGCTGCTCTGCTACACCACTGGCAGTGTAGAAGTGACAGAGCATGCTTGCTAACCTCTTCCCTTCACTGCACAAGCAGTTTTGCTATGGCATTTGGCACAGACCTGATCTTCCAAGTCTGAGTTTGGCATTTGTTGTCACAGAAATGCCAGTGCCCATGACTTGATTAAATACGACAGCCAGTGGAGAGTATTTTCCACGTGGGTCATTCAAGGAAGCTGTATGATTTACGTGCATGTGACCTCTTTGAGCATAAACACTTTAAACAGTAATGACATAAAAATGATAATTATTTCCTTTTTTTTTGGCTACAGTAAAATACAAATCATAGCATTTGCCTTAATATACTGAACCTGAATCTCGACTTTACCCAGCTGCCAGTTTTTTTGGTTTCACATAAATACCACAGGTCCACAGACATTTCAATTTAACTTTCCATTTCAATGAGAAAGTCTTCTGCCAAGATTTGCACCTTGCAATAATAATTATTAAAAAATAAAAAAGAAAATAGAGCCTTTAGATATCAAGGAAAAAAAAAGAAATTTATCAGGGTGAACGGTTCTCCGTGGTCAAGTACCACCTTTGATAGCATTTTTCTCCTTCTGGTCTTCACACACAACTGTGTGACTGATAACTTAGGCCTGCTTGCAGTTTTCTCCTTACTCCCATCAGTGGCATCTTTCAATAAATGACAGAGGCTTTGCAAACTGGTGGTTTGTTTCATGTGTCCGCAAGTCACTGTACTTCCAAACAAGAGGAAGGTTCCCTCTGCAGATTACAGTCTTCTCGTTTCATGTCTCCCAGTGCTTCAGTGGTGAACAAATTTTTGGCCTCACTGAGACCATCTCCGGGTGCCTCTACTTTCTGCAAAATGCTTTGAAAAGATTATAGCAGTGTATGCTGCAGGCAGTTCTATAAAAAGGAGGAGAAAACTAAAATGCTCTGGTGGTATGGAGAAATTACCGTGTTTGGCATAGCTATGACTGTGGGAAGGCATGTGGAAAAATATTATTTGAATATGAAAGGACCCTAAATCACCTCTTTCCTAAATAGGTAGGCAGATGTGTCAGTCCTCCCGCCACCTGCACTCCACAGACCTCTGAGGAAGGGACTGGCATGAGCCGGCTGGGGTCAACCCCACACACCACCCTGCCAGCTGAAATCTAGTGACCTCACCATAGCCAGTAAAAGCAGAATTTGGATTTTAAGACCATCAGTAAGGCATGGTTCCAAGTCCAACAGAAGCCAAAACTTCTATGCTACATATAAAAAATATAAGAAATTAATACTCATGGCTGCACTTGAGAGTTTAATGCAGCTGTTACTGGCAGCTTCATGAAGAAAGAAACCCCCTGAAACCACTGGTACCTCAGGATGCCTGACTAAAGCAAGTGATGAAATGACCAGGTTATGACACAACAGGTTATAAAGTCCATTTTATGAACACTCCAAACCGAGCGGTGGTCTCTGAGGTGTCAGGCAAAGCCGGTTTAGAGTGGATATGAGCCAGCATGTAACCCCTGTTTGGGCTGCTAAAAATATACAACTACCTTTTAATTCCTATCCACCTCTGTGAATGCTTTCAAAGTGACATATACACCAGCACAATAAGGCAAGTATCACAGCTGCATTAACTGGCCTGAGACACTTGAGCTAGTTACATTAGAGTTCAGTTTAATGACTATTTCCACTACATTGTAACAGAAAAATCCTAAGAATTAAAATTTGTGTGTGACAGGAAACATGTCCCTAACAAGCACCTGTTTCCCCCGAGGAGCATCAAGAATTTGGCAGTTGCCAAAGGAATGGTTTTGTCAGAAAGTTGGCATATGTTCTCATAGCACTATTTTTGCATGATACCTGTTACACATGGATTAAAGAAAGGGACAAAAGAGGGAGGAGGCAACAGGAAAAACATGCAGAAGGGAATAGTCAAAATAAACCATAAGCAGATAGAAATTGGCTCTGTGGAATAAAAACACATTTTCATATCTGGAAGGCATACAATTTTGTGAAATTTTACAGAAAAATTAATCAGGGGCATTTTGAGGCAAATCCAGTGGTATGCTACATCTTCACACTGATTTTAAAAAATAAATTATTTTCATATACTTGTAGAATGGCCTAGGTTGGAAGGGACCTTAGAGATCATCTAATCCAACCTCCACGCCTCTCAGCTAGACCAGGTTGCTCAAGGCCTCATCCAACCTGGCCTTGAACACCTCAAGGGAGGGGGCATCCACAGCTTCTCTGGGCAATTTATTCTAGAGTCTTGTCGCCCTCATACTGAAGAATTTTTTCCTAAGACCCAATCTAAATCTATTCTCCTTTAACTGAAACCCATTTCCCCTTGTCCTATCAGTGGACACTCTTGTAAAAAGTCCCTCCCCAGCCTTCCTGTATGTTCCCTTCAGGTATTGGAAGGCAGTTATAAGGTGCCTCCGGAGTTTTCTCTTTTCAAGTCTGAACAACCCCAGCTCCCGCAGTCTGTCCTTGTCGCAGAGGTGTTCCAACCCCTGCGGCCATCCTCTGAACACACTGCAACAGATC